ACGTATGTGTGACCAAAACAGTCAGGAAACCAAAACACACACGTGAGCAGTGTAACTGATCTTGTATATGGAATGTGCTGCTTTCATGTATTTAAACTGCCTTGCGTATAATCATTCAAGTAAAGATTATTTTTGTGGTAGAGTTTTACTTGTATGTTCACTGTAGTGCACATAGTTTTTCACAGAAACCACTACGAAGCAGCTCTGAGCAGGATGTAAGTGCCCAATCGGTTTTCCATGCCTACTTGGGAGTCTGTCCACGCTGAGGCCCCTGGTCTGGAGATGGGCAGGGGTCACAAAGGAAGTGAACCTCTGAGAGTCCCTGACCCCAGCTGAGGCCTGCAGTGGTGGGTGAAACCTCGAAGCCTCCCAAGAGAAGACAAGGCCACAGCTAAGGACGCCTGTTCCAAGCTCCATTAACTAGACAAGGACTGTAGCTGCAGACAACTCACTCCTGTGGGGAAGCCCTTCCTGGAGTTAACATAGTTCTCCTAAGTGGACATGATGGATTAATGGAGAAATCACTGAGTGGACTTCCTGGTCCTTGAATAGTCCTGCTCAGATAGTCCTACTGATTAGTCCACCCTCTTCAGTATTCTCCACCTTTGATAAGTAAATAAATATGGGCAACCCAGAGGATGTCTTTGTCTTCACCTTTGCAAAATCTCAAAATCAGTGAAAGGGTTTTTATCATCCTGGGGCCTTAAAAATCATATCAGTTAACTGTTTTCTTTGTTTCTGTCTTTCTTTCTTTCTTTCTTTCTTTCTTTCTTTCTTTCTTTCTTGCTTGCTTGCTTGCTTGCTTGCTTGCTTGCTTGCTTGCTATTTAGGACACAGTCTATAGGGTCTCAGTCCATAGATCTGTCTCATAGTGATCCGCAAGTGTTCAGCCTCCCAAAAGCTGGGATTATAGTTATGTGCCAACCTCTCAGTCTCAATGGCATCTCCTTAAGCCCTGGAGGTGGGGCCGCATGGCAAGCATGGAACCCTGGCTGCTGCACTCTGCCTAATCAGGTGCATTCCTCTGCTGAGTTATCTGTCCGATCATTAACTCTTTTATTTAATTTTTCTGTGTATTCTCATTTGGGAGGTTGTAGGTTTAATTACTTTGCAATAACTAAGGGATACCATTCATGTGTTTATTTGATTTTTTTGAGAATTTGTCTGACTGTAGTGCAGGCCGGTCTTCAATTCAAGGCGATTCCCCTGCCCCTCGCTCCTGCTGACTTGTGGGATTACAGGTGTGCAT